GAGGACTCCCCAAAGGCAGACACTGCTTCTTGAACAGCCTGCAGAACCAATTAAACCTCTTTTCATTACTCATTACCAAGTCTCAGGTATTTCTCTGCAGCAATGCAATTCCTAACACAGTGGCTGTAATAGGAATCTACCCAATTAGTCCATAAGCATATATTCATCATTAGGCATGACCCTCACAAGTCCACGGGCCCTCAATTCTCCTTAGTTGGAACCAAAATACCAAGAAGATCCAGTAGTCTCAAAACCCAGTAATAGGCCTAATCCTTTAATTTGTTCCAATATTGTTCTGTCGGAAAACACTGACTCTTATTTACATGATTGATAATTGTTGTATTTTGTTATTATCAGGCAATCTACAAAAGCTTAAAATCCAAAGTATTTCTCATGAGATCAAGTAACTTATTCACACATTGCTGATACTTTGTTACAATACAAGGATAGCATTCATAGTTTCCAAAATGAAAGAAAGACGTAGAGAAGGAAGAAGAGGAAGAGTAAGCAAGGAAAAAGAAGGGAAAGGGTAAGACGGTTAAACCCAACAACATTCAAAAACAAAAGTATGCTAATTCCTACAACTTTACCTAACAGAATATGATACCCACACAATAATTTGGTCCTTAAAGCTCTTTTGACAAGAAAACAATAATACTTAATGAACAATTACAAGAACAAGAAAATCTGATTTCCAAGAAGAAAGGAATATCAGAACGAACTATAACAATAATGTTGTTTTCCTTTCTACCATGTTTCTTTCACAGTGTAAATTCTAAAGTATAAATCTATATGAGGAATAGCTACAAGTTTTAATGAATGATAAAGTCAATATATTTATTTTATATGTCTCAAATTACAAAGTCCTACAAAAATCTGTTTCTTTTATTTAAAAAAGTTAGATTTCTAAATGAAAATACACCTCCCACACTTGACTATTCATGAAGTCATAGCCAGAATAATAGATTTAGCCAGCAATAGTAAATGTCAAACTTACATTCTCCTCTGCCAATAAAATTAATAGTCTTTTGAATAAAAATGACATACAACATATTATATTCTTTCTTAAGAAACAAAACCTACTGGTCCTTGCTTTGAGTTTCTTAATAGAGCTTAACCACTTTTTTTTTACTTCTTCATAGAGCAACAGAACAAGACTCTAGCTATGCCAAATACTCTATCAGTTTTTATTTTTAAAATGGTATGAGCTTTGGCTAATGGAAGTCTCAAGATAGTGAAAAATAAAACGATTCAATATCAGTGATGCAGATATATGTTCATCATATTCCAACTTACCCAGTACACTGACAAAAGCATCAAAAAGATGAAATGTAAGCAGAGGCTCTTTCAAGTGACCATAGTAATCAGCTATGGTTTTAAAGACATCTTTTTCAAATCCCAAGTACATAGGCTGCTTCAAATCAGAACAGTTGGGCCCTATTTTCAAAAAGAGAGTGAAAGAGAAATATTAATGGAGTAATTACCTCTAAGTATTATTCTCTGTGAATATGTGTGGCGTGTACAGATATTCACATATTTAACATATAAGTTTTTATGGGGAAAATTGACATTAATTAAATAGGCATTCTACATTGACATTAATTAAATAGACATTTTACATTTTGCCTACACACATATGCTTTATGTCTAAATTGAAATCTATCATAATACAATGAAGAAAATCACCTGCTTACTTCCATTTTAAAAGAAACCTGTCTTTTTAAAAAAATTCTTCTGAAAGGCATTTTTATTAAATGTAAACAATGATAATTTTCTTTGAAATACTCAACATTATCCTAGTCTTAATAAAGTTGACCAAGATAACAATTAGTTCACATTTGTAATAGACAAGTTATAAAACAATTTTTAAAGCTTTTCATTATTTCATCATTGCTATATTATAAAATCCTACAGTCATAGAGTTGAGCAAAATAATCAATTTCTGCCTCTATTTCAGACTAATAAATATTCAAACTTAAATCCTTAAAAGGGGATTTTATATTTTGTCTTAATTCACTCTGATTATAAACGCTCTATTTGATCCCTGACCAACCATCAAAAGACAGTTTATCAAGCAAAGTCATACTGCAAAGTTGAAGCAACCATTGAAACCCTTAAACAGCCTGCTACCAACCATACCCTACTCCAGCAACAAGCAAGGAAAACATCCACTAGTGTATGGCCCAAAGAGGAGCAAGAAATTTCTCTACAGAGTTGGCAACAACTGCCCCACCAATCCATCCACAGACCACAGATTTACACTGCCAAGTTGAGAGATGAACTGGAGCTGCCTGCACCTTGAGGAAAATAGCAAGTGGTCCCATGAGGAACAGTGTAGCCAGCCTTCTCTATTTCCATTACAGCATGGAAGAAAGGACCACATCCGCATTGGCTAGTTCTGGCCCAGCAGAAGACTAAACAACTGTACCTAAATAGACCTCTATCCCCAGAGGAACAAAAGCAGCAGCCAAGATAAATTGAAAGGAAATTCTTCCTACAGAATCTCTGTTACTAAAGAAAGGGGATCAAGTTAAAAAGGGCAGTAAAGCATTCCGGGTCTTCACATTTTGAGGTCACCGTGACAAGATCAAATGGCTTTTTCATCGTCCTTAAAGACTCTCTTACCTTTCAATATTCTGTTCTCGTCTTATAAAATAATTTGATTGGCTAAAATAATGAATGTTGTGAAATATCTATGTGTGTGGTACCACATGAATCCAGCAGCAAAGGTAGTTGCCATTTTGCTTGCCTCGTCCTCTGACATATCCCAAGCTTAATCAATTAAAATAATTAGGTTGATATGTCTCAGCAAGCAATACACATTGCCTAGAATTACTCCCTGGCAGGATAAGTATGTGGTTCATTCTAAGCAGTTGTACCCCTTTGTGAACATCTCATCATCCTTCTTAAAAATATGCAGAAAAATTTTAAAGGTTTCCCTAAAAAAAAAAAAAA